CACTCGGGGGAGGGCTTTTTCTGTAGCTGCTCCGGCACTGTGGAACGATCTCCCCTCAGAGATCCAGACACTTCCCACTCTCTAAACCTGGCTGTTCCAGCAGGCCTGGGGCTGTTGACCCCAAAATACGGTCCAGCCCCATCTAGAACTGAGTGCATGGTGTGTTGTTTTTAAATCTATCTTTTCTTTTTCTTATATTTCTGTTTTGATTTTATTCTGCATTGTAAGCCACCTGGAGTCCTATGGGATAGGGCGGCATATAAATGTTATTAAATTCAAATTCAAATTCAATACATTAAAAAATGCAAGTAGAAAAAATAAGAACGACCTTTGTTGGGAAGATAACAGCGCTCCATGCGCCATCAGCATTTAGTCACGCCGGCCACATGACCATGGAGACCTCTTCAGACAGCACTGGCTCTTTGACTTTGAAGTGGAGATGAGCACCGCTTCCTAGAGTTGGGAATGACTAGCACATATGTGTGAGGGGAATCTTTACTTTTACCTTCTATCAAGATGACATGAAGTGTTCAAGTGGCTTTATAAAGCCTTGATAAGACCACACTTGGAATACTGCATCCAGTTTTGGTTACCATGATACAAAAGAGATGTTAAGAGTGCAGAGAAGAAGAACAAAGATGATTGAGGGGCTGGGGGACAAAACAGTCACAGAGAATAGGGGGTCAACCTACTCTCCAAAGCACCTGAAGGCAGGACAAGAAGTAATGGATGGAACTAATCAAGGAGAGAAGCAACCTGGAATTAAGGAGAAATTCCTGACAATTAGAACAATCAATCAGTGGAACAGCTTGCCTCCAGAAGTCGTAGGTGCTTCATCACTGGAGGTTTTCAAGAAGAGTCTGGAGAACCATTTGTCTAGAATGATATCAGGTCTCCTGCCTAAGCAGTGGATTGGACTAGAAGACCTTCAAGGTCCCTCCCAACTCTGTTATTTTGTATTCTGTATTTGTATTATTCTCTTTTCTCTGTTTGCTTTTTTTCAGAAAAAAAAGCAGGAAAGAGGGGGGAAGGAGAAAAAAATTAAACTTTTTATAAGAAGACATCCCCTGTGCAGGACGAAGAAGCTGAAGCTTGACCATCTGTTTGGGACAGGCTGGCCAAATGGCCCCAGATTGGGAACGTCTAGATTAGGGTGAGTTGATGAACTCAAAGATTTTGTCCTAGTCAATCAGCAAAAATCAGGGGAGTGATAGCACCTTCTCTAACCAACAAATTCCGTCCAATATGTTAAAGTTGCCATTAGATTCTTCCTGGAAGTGTTCAGAGTGGAAGAAGGTTTAATCAGCTGGTTTTTACACCCATCTCAACCCTGAGATCACACTTTTCTTGTGATCACAAAACTGTTGAGTCACCCGTCTGGAATTCCCTTGAAACGTGACTCTCTGGCTGCCTGCATTGGCTTCCTCCAGCTTCCTCGAAGTTGGCTGACGGTTGGGGAAGCAGTGTTTCCAGAGCAGTTTCCCAAATTGGCAACTTTAAAATGTGTGGTTTTTGAGTCCCAGACCCTGCGGCCAGCAGGCCAATCTGAAAGTTGCCAACCTTGAGTAACACTATGTTGGAGGTTTAAGATAGTTTGTACATCTCGGCCCCCAATCACTTAGAATCATGGAATCACAGGGCTGGAAGGGACCTTGGAGGTCTTCCAGCCCAACCCCCTGTTCAAGG